TATTGGGGTTTAGGGAATCAGCATGAAACACTTTGATACAGTAATGAAGTGGTTAGGGTGCATATGTGTATGTGTGCACACGGCACTGCCCTCTGCTGGATGCAGTCAGAACTGCTCAGCCATGTGCCACGTTCCTTATAGTGCTAACAGCTAGCAAGGATTTATTTCCCTTTTGCTCCAATAGCAGGGCCTGTGCTTTTGGAGCAGTGGGTTCTCCGTTCTCTCTCCGCTGTCACTGGGATGGCCCCAGTGGGTACTGGGGGCTCTGTGGGGAGAGCCGTGGAGCTGTAAGTGGCCTTGGGTTTGCTATAGACATGTGATAACAGAAATGACGTTCCGTGGTCCCATGAGGATGAGGACGATTCTGTTGTATTTCCAGGCCAAAAAAGAGGAGGAAGAGGCTCTCTGCGTCTACTGGAAAGTAGTGGCCGAGAGCGGCAGCTGGTCTCCGGACGGCTTCACCGCCGTGCACACGAACAGCACTCACACCACCTGCAGCTGTGACCATCTCTCCAGCTTCGCCATCCTAATGGCTCCCACCACAGTGACGGTATCTCACCGTGAGACTCAGATCACAGCGCAGGACCCTGAGCTCCACACTCAGCCGTGGGCAAAGTTCTCCCGGGAGCGACTGGAGGCTTTGCTTGGGAAAAGGCTGAGTCGGAACCCAGGGGGCTGGGCTGGGCTCACTGTTTATTCTCCCTTTGCTGTGTTACAGGAGAGTTACCCACTGACCATCATCACCTACGTGGGACTGACCTTCTCCCTGCCGTGCCTCTTCCTCGCCATCCTCACCTTCCTCCTGTGCCGCTCCATCCGCAACGTCAGCACCTCCCTCCACCTGCAGCTCTGCCTCTGCCTCTTCCTGGCTGACCTGCTCTTCCTCACTGTGGTTACCCCCATCGGCAGTGAGGTACGGCCCGACTCTCCCCTGCTCTGTTCCTCCATTCTCAGCAGGGCTGGGGTGTGTGGATTTGAACCCCTTTGTGCTTCCTGGATTCTGGGCTGTGCAGGACACGGGGAATTCCTGGGGGAATGTTTCCACCCCCTGTTAGGCCCCTTCACACTGGGCACAGGGTCTGAGTGTCCCCAACCCGCGGAGTTCAGCCAGTTCTATCCCTATGTCAGAGTCTCCCTATGTCGCGATTTCCCTCCTAAGTGACTTGCCCATGGTCACCCAGAGACTTTGTGGTAGGGCTGGGAACAGAACATGGATCCCCTGAGCCCTGCTCCCCTGCTGTAAGCACTAATCTCTGTTCCCTTCCCACATGAGCAATGTGCACCTGCAGAACCCTCCATAGACCGAGGAACCTGCCGTCTCTGGGTCACGGAGCGCTATAACTGGAGAGCTGTGCTAACAAGAATCCCGGTGTGACCCCCCGGCAGGTCTCCCCCATACTCAGCATTTCCCTTCCCCACCGCACTGTCCA